CGGTGGGGGAGGCTGGTCAGACCGCATCCAGCTGACCTGACGCATCTGCCCGAGCTCGATATACTTCCACGCCACGGAGGGAGCACGAACCGGGACAACAGATTGCTTTCGAAATACCCCGCCATCCGAAGGTAAGTAAAGGAGGCTGTTTGGTGAGGTATTGGAGCTATCCAAAACACTATAGGCTACGGCGGTGCAACTAAGCCTCGCCCTCTCTCCGGAGGGGTCAATTTCCACTCCAATGGAGCGGATTCTGGAAGACATACAGAGGTGACCGTTCGAAAGTTTGATCAGTTCAACTCGTGTCTTGCGGTCTTGGAGCAGTCGGACAAAACGGCCGGGAGGAATGTCAACTTTGTCATCAACGAGACAGGTGATGTTCAGACTGGACAGCTTAGTGACCCACTCCTTCGACCGAACTGCCAACCAGGCCAAACTGCAGGAACAGAGTAAGGGGTTGTCTGTCAAGTCAATTAATCGATCCGGTCTGTCAAAGTAGTCCGCAAACTTTGAGTCCAGACTACGGATGTTGTTACTCGAGAGTATGAGCTTCTCCAAACCATTCACCTTCGAGAAGAGTCTGAATGGTATTTCGGAGATCCTGTTCTGTTGAAGGTTAATCTGGGTGGCAGACATGCTATGAAAAACCTCCTCTTCTAGCTGCAGACCCTCGCCATCGAAATTCATCCCAATTTCTTCATAACGGTAGGCCAAATTGTCCGTTTTTCCACCCAACGAGTCCTGCTTCTGAAGATACAGTTGGGTAAGCTTTAAGCCGTAGAATGTATAGGCTTCCAGGTGATGAAGTTGGTTTAGTGATAAGTCCAGGAATCTGAGGTTAGTCATCCCCAAAAAAGTTCGCGGTTCAATGGAGCGCACCTGGGAATTGACAATACTCAGTCTTATGAGGTGTCCAAGGCCGGTGAAGTTTTGACGAACAAGGCGACCCGGTGCGGGGAACAGTCCACCCTGGATCTTCAGCGTGGTGGTTCCCGGGGGCAGATTTGTTGGCACGCCGCCTATGCGATCCTGGGGGCTGCAGTCGACGGCGGCGTCAGGACTTGAACAGAAACACACACCCTGACATAGTGAAGGTGCCACATACTGACACGAAATGGTCTGCATAAAAGCCATCAATGGAAGCCAAATTGAGATGATCCATTTGAGCTGCATGGTGAAAGGGAGACTGTGACGCCCTGAAAAGGGAATGAAGAAAACGACTTAAAATTAGGAGATGTTATCCAAAATAAAGGAGAAAAAGCAGCTTAAGGCAAGTATCCATGTTTTAGCCATATCAAGTACACAAATCTTCCGTTTTGGTTGCCAAAAGTAATTAAAGAAGCGCCCTAGTTTTTCTTACCGGGAAAGTCATGCTGGAGTCGTGGGTAAGGATTTACTATGAACGGTACGGTGGAGTGTGATTCAGATAAGCACGACAACCCTCTAGTGACAACGCTGTCATCAGCACCTTCGTCCTATGTAGTTAAATGCTTCAACTTTTGAAGTTAGATTAAATAGACGCAGTTATTAGGAGAAGAACATTATTCGCCAGATTCGTGCTCTAACTCCTTGTCAGGGGCCGCGTCAGATATGGTTAATTCATACACAGAGAGTCTTAGTATTAATAGGATTTAGTCATTATACTGTCGCGTGCCTATGAAAGGTGACAGCTCCCCCCTCATCGAGGTTGATTGCCCTCTGGTGCGATAATTGCTTCATGACAGGCCGTCGACTCACTGACCCCTGAAATTTCATCATACGTGTTAGATGGTGGTGTGATGACTGCTCGGCCATCTGTCTCACTGGCACTGACGATCGCGTCTACTTCCTGCCAATTACATCCAGACACTCGTATTTTTGTTTTTATCGACAGTTTTACAAACGTCATGTTAATCTGGTACGTGAACGTGACTGCGGCAAACGCACAACTGTCCATCACCCTTGCGAGTGCAAGGATATAGGCCGACTTTAGATAGAAGTACATTGTTACGTCTTCCGTACACTGTAGACAGACTAGCAGCCTCCAATCACACTACAGATGTTTGTGGTTTAGTTGAAGAAGAGTGGAGTGCTAAAAGCAACGATACTTGTTAACCTGCCAATGCGGAGGGCAATCTGCAATGGGGGAGGAGTGAATCGCCTCCTATCTGGAACTTTAGTTGGAAAACCATTGAGCCGTATAAGTTGTGTTATCGACTCCAGGAAAAAACTATGGAGCAGTGGGTTAACCGAATGCAATGGTTTTCTTTGTTTATTCTAAATAATCGGCTGAACAGTCAGTTTAGATGGCCCAAGTGAACAATCAAAAGACAAGGAAAACAAGCACTCCAAGAGCAATACGTATTTCAGGTGATAAACAAAAGCAGATTTTCTATACGTTCATGACTAGAAGTTTGGGAATAGCCCTAAACTTACAGACATCAGTTGGGTCAAAAAAAGGCGCAACCGCAATACATTCCCAACGGACGTACTGCAATTCACCAGAGCTGTGGCATTTTTGAGTGACGCCCTGTCCGATGACTCAAATATGTATAAACGACTTAGACCGTGGCCGATGCCAACTTCAAGTGGTGATCGCACCTCACCCCAACATTCCCTGATTGCAGCTGTTCATTTCGCGTACTTCACAGTCACGTTCACTCCCCGTACTTGACCTTCGAACATAGCTCACAACCTACCTTTCTCATCCCCCTCTCTATCCCAACGACCTCAAACAGTCGATCTTAGCATGTAGGCGGTGTGGGTACGCTGCGTATTAACCCTAAGACATCTAGAAACCCTGTCTGACTTTCCGAATTTAACCTGTGAATCTTCGCATAGCTCGAAATCTGATGAAATAATTAAGCTAAAGGCAAATGGACAGCGTGTGTCAATTAAAACAAAATTAAGGGGTTAGTGGGGCATATTCAAACTTACTTTCCAGAATAAGTTTATTTACGAAGGCAAACTAGTCATAACAATGGCAAAGAAACAACGAAACAATCTGGTCCCAACGGTCCATATTAAGCGGAGGTCCCTGAAAAACCCCTCTAGTTTTCTGGGAACTAGTATAATTAGATGTCAAGAGGTCAGGCATACCCTAGCTCGTAATGTTACCCATTTTTGTCGGCCCAGCATTCTTTTCTATTCCAACTTCCGGGGCTCCGCTGAAATCCCTCAAACAAAACATGCCTGACCCGCCCCGAAGGGATTAGCTAGTTTCAACACACACGGACAGTCCTATAACAATAAAGCCACACGGGGATGAACAGACGTAGCGCATGACGTCCGGAAGCGGTGTGGGCATGTCCCGGGGGCGGGCAATGCCGAAAAGGTGTGATAGGAGGGGGAGAAGGATAGGCCTCTGGTGTCCGCAATCGCCCCGACTGAGTCACTGGGTGTTTTGATAGGAGGGAGAGAGAGGGAGGAAGAGGAGGAGGGTGAGAAGGGGAAGGAGGGTGGGACGCGG